CCAACAACATGCCTGCCACGGTGCTGAGCAACAAGATCCCGAAGTGACCCCTTCGAGGTCCAAACAGGAGTCAAACAAGACTGCATCATTGCCCCAGCGCTGTTCAGCATCTTCATCGCCATGACTCTCCATCGCCTTGATGACAAGCTTCCAGATGGTGTGAGGATGGTCCATAGAATGAATGGGAAGCTTTTCAACCTCAGGAGATGGAAGGCCACAAGCAAAACCTCCATGACTTTGATCATGGAGCTCCAGGACGCGGATGGCAAAATGGTCACTGCTCTTTCCCCCGCAGCTCTTCAGACCATCGTAAGCGCCTTCGCTGAAGTGTACGAGAATCTCGGCCTTACGCGGAATATCAAAAAGCCCAAGGTACTCCATCCACCCTTGCCAACGGGACAATCTCATGTACCATCTACTGAAGTCAACGGAGAACTGCTGGAAAACGCGGAGCATTTCCCGTACCTTGGAAGCCATCTCTCCGCCAAAGTTGACATGGATGCAGAAGTTCAGCATCACCTGAGCTGCGCGAGCTCTGCTTTTGCCCGCCTGAGTCGAAGGGTCTTTGAGAACATCAGCGCCAAGACAAAGCTCCTTGTGTACCGCACAGTGGTTGTTCCAACACTGCTCTACGCATGTGAAACCTGGCCAACATGTAAGCATCCCCTGAAGGCACTTGAACAATATCATCAACGCTGCCTCAGGAGAATCCTAAATATCCCTTGGGAGGACAGACGAACCCTAGCATCCTGGAAGAGTTGAACATGACCCGCATTGACGCTACCATCATCTTCCAACAACTTTGCTGGACTGGTCACATGGCCCAGCCGCCTGATCAGCGCCTCCCAAAACAGATTCTGTTTTCTGAGCATGTGTGATGGGTGTGAACGGGAGTAATGCCATGGGGTGATCCATGGGTGTGGGAGGACACATGCGTATGTGTGTACGCATTGGTGTACCTGTGTGTAATACATGGGTAGTGCATGTGTATGTGTGTGTTCATGGATATACGGAGATGTGGGGATGTGTATGTTTAGGTGGCACAGGCATGTGCGTGCATGTGTGTTCATGGGCGCATGTACACATGGGGACATGTGTGCATGTGTTTATGAGCATGGATTGCTGGCTTTCAGTGGTGCCCAGGAACCAAACAGCCATTTTCCAGCACCACCAAGGGCTCTGGCCAAGCACCCTGCCCTGTGAGGATCAGATGGAATTAACGATCGGGGTCCTGTGAGCTCACCCAGCCCCTCCCATGTTGCCGAATGGGGGAGGGGGCTTCCCAGCTACACCTGGGCTCCATGGCAGAGGGAGATGCCAGGGCAGGGATCATGGTGCACAGAAGTTCTGCGAAGTCACAGAAGTCAGAGGCCAGGAGGGAGCTGGAAATGGTGATGATACAGCTGCTCCGCTTTCCACCAGCTGCAACACTGCCCCCTGCTGGGATCAGAACTGCTCCAGCATGTGTCATAAGCCCTATACTGCTAATGGAAACAGGGCAACCCCTCCCTCCTTAACTGAAATGGCTAAGCCCCCAGAGCCCTGCCCCAGTACAGTCCAGTGTGCCAGGCAGCAAAGCTGCAGAGTCCACTTAGCTCGGAGATTAATACATCTGGTCTTCCGTTCGCTCCCGCAGAGAGTTTAAACAATCTAATTAGGTTCCTGGAAACAGGATTAGCTGGGGCTGGTAATTCAATTCCACCCCCAAGCCTATTCTGTCGTAATCTCATTGCCATGCCCTCTGCTCCAATGCTGACTGTGCTGGCTGCCAGGGTCCCTTTGTGTCCTGTCAGCCCGGCTCCCGGAGCCGCTGCGCTGTGTGTGTGCATGCTAGGCACAGCTCCTGGCGTGGCCTCTCGCTAAGCCTGCTTGACAGGTCCCATTAGAAGACCCTGTTTCCAGTTGTTTATAACTTTGTCAGCTCTCCGGCCTGAGGTTTCCCGCTCTGGGCTTCCGCTTCAGGGTGAATCATTGGGGAATGTTTCATATGAACATAAGAACAGCCAAAGGTCCATCTGGTCTTCTGACAGTGGCCAATGCCAGGTGCCCCAGAGGGAATAAACAGAACAAGTAACCATCAAGTGATCCCTCTTCTGTCATCCATTTTCAGACTCTGACAAACAGGCAAGAGACACCATCCCTACCCATCATGGCTAATTAGTATTGATGGGCCTATTCCCCATGAATTCTTTTTTGAACGCTATTCAAGTCCTGGTCTTCACAACATCCTCTGGCAAGGAGTTCCACAGGTTGACTATGCGTGCTGGGTGAAGAAATACTTCCTTTTGTTTCTTTTAAACCTGCTACTTAGTAATTTCATTTGGTGACCCATAGTTCTTGGGTTATGGCAAGGAGTAATTAACTCTTCTTTATTCACTTTCTCCACACCAGTCATGATTTTATAAACGTCTATCATATCCCCCCTTAATCGGGTTTTTTTTCCAAGCCGTAAAGTCCCAATCTTATTAATCTCTCCTCCTATAGCAGCCGTTTCATATCTGTAATCATTTTTGTTGCCCTTTTCTGAACTTTTTTCCAATGCCAAGAGGAGATGACGTGACCAATCTGCATGCAGTATTCAAGATATGGGCAGCGGTGAAAGTAACTCACAATTTCTTACAGGTTTCAGCGAACGTGGAACAAGGCCATCAAAAATAATACGTTGTTTTGGCCCATCTTGCATGTTTCATTGACAAGCTTCGGTCCCCCACCCCTGCCCTTAGGTGGGTTGGGCCTTGCCTTTTGAGCACCCTCGGAAATGTACCCCCATGTACCCCCAGCAAATCTCAGTTTACACATGCTCAGTGCAGCCACAGGAAAAGTTTGGCAGCTAAATTCTCTCTCGATTCCCTCCATGCTCCAGCTCCTCCCTGCGCCCTCCCCACTGAGTTACAGGCAACCTTAATTCTGCTATTTCTGAACATTTGGGGGCTTCATTTTGCCATGGCAACACTCTGCACACGTCGCTTTTGTGTGCAAGGTGTGCACGTGGGCGGATGTTTTATTTACATATATATTTGTCCCCTTTAAAATAGTTCCCCATCTAGGTCAATTACAGTGTCACCGCAGAGACGGCGGAATTATCGCATCATCGGAGGAAGCTCGTAAATCACTCGGGGCCAGGCTGTTTATGATCCATTTATCTTCCCAAGATGCTAATGAACTCCTGCAATGCACCTTCCATCTCCACAGCCCCCCTCTGCCGAAATCCTCCACAGTGGCTGCTAGGTTTCCCCACAGAGAGGAAACTGGGGGACGGACAGACAGACAGCCTTTGGCTACCCAGCCTCTGGAGTGGAGGGGAGGGTGGCAGGTCAGTCTGGCTCCGACCAAGGGGTGACTGTTGTTGGCATTCTTCTGCAGACATGGGCCAAAAGTTTCCCTTGCTGGGGACGCCAAGGGCCTAATCTGCCGTTTCTCTTAACCCCTTCAGCTGTTGGCTCCAATGGAGTTATTCCAGATTTACACCGGCTGAGGAGAGAGCCAGCCCCAAAGATTCCAGCCCCCCACTCAAGAAAGCAGGGTCCTTACCATTTACTCAGCAGCCCAAGGACTGTCCCCAGCCTTGGTGTCACTCCCACCTGCAGAAGAAGGCCCCGAGCCACAGAATTTGACCCCAGGCCTTCGGGGTGTGGCGGGAACATTGCAGGGTTAGGAGTGGTTCTCTGGACCCAGGATTCAGGTGTTTGGGCTGCTGGATCTGGTCCAGCTCTAAGGGACAAAAGACCAATCCGAGCGCCTTTGTTCTCTGAGCGCCTGATGAAGGAGAGGGAGCACTCTTATCATTTTAGCATAGGTGGGAAACTGAGGCACAGGGAGAGCGGAAGGGCCTGCCCAAGGGGAAGCCAGGGGTCCTGACAGCCAGTTCCTATTTCTCTAGCCCACCAGGGCTTGTTCCTTTGCCAGGAGGGTGACTTGGTTCCAAAAGGCAGTGGGGGCACACGGGGATGCAACACCACACTGCCATGTGCCAGAGCTGGCATGGGGGGGACAGGAACTGCAGCCCGTAGGGGTCACCCCAAGAGGACAGCAGCCTTGGCCTCAAAGCTGATGGGAGCTGATGGGATTGGCTGGCACCAGCTGTGACATCTGATGAAACTTGCCCCCGGGGGTCCCCCCCTGCCTCTCCAGACAGAGCCTTTGCCCCCCCCCCTTTACACAGATCCTGGAGCTGGGGGAGGCAGCAGGAGGGAGAAATCAAGGGACAAGAGGAGACGGGGATGGAGAGCGGCAGTTGGGGATGGGAGAGGCCAGCATGAGGCTGGACTCCTCCTCTGGGAGCCCTCAGCCAGGCCCATCTCCATGGAGACAGCCCCCTCCTGAGGAGCCTATTCCAACCAGATGACCTCGCACCTCGTGTTTCTCCTCCTGCACGGGCACCGAGGGGCAGGGGACACATGGGCCAGCCAGAGGGAAGATCAGCGAGTAGCTGAATTTGAGGGCCACATTACTAGGGGCATGATGGGAGCATCCAGAGGCTGCATGGGGCCAGGCGCTGCCCCAGAGAGCTCCCAGTCTGACCAGGCACTAGAAGGATCCTTATCCCTCCTCTACAGATGAGGGAAACTGAGGCCCAGAGAGACGAAGAAGCACAGCCAAAGTCATCCACAGAATCAGGGTACAACCCCTCTCCAATACTCATCCCCCACCCAGCCTCACTGTGGTCTGACCCCTGGCCACAATGATGGTCACACCGCTTGTTATTTAATCGTTTGCTCGCTCGTGCCCTCCAAGGGAGAAAATCTGAACAGCCACGGAGGTAGGGGTGCTCCTGTCAAGGAGCCGGGCAGGATCGGCTCAGCCCAGCTTCCCAGCTGGTCTTGGCTGCCCCTCACCCCAAGTCCTGGGAGCTAGGACCCCTCCCTCGTTGTGACCCCAACCTGATTTGCTTTACCTCCCCCCGCAACCTCCGCCTGTTGCCTGTGGAACAATCATCCTCAGGGGATTTTTCACAGCGACAAATGACCGGCAGTGGTGGCTCGTCAACGCGGAACGGGGTCTTGACAGGCGGACAAATGGAGGCAATCGAGGAGCCTGCAGCGCAGGGCTTTGCGGGGCGGCTGCTGATCTGATTGTTGGCTGAGTGATTGCTCGCCGGGCCCGGGGCTGCGGAGACATTTAAAGGGACAGGGGCCGTCCTCAGCATGATGGGAGCATCCAGAGGCTGCATGGGGCCCGCCAGCTCCCTCCGTCTCTCTCTCCTGTCTAGGCCAGCGGTCACCAAGCAGTAGATCAGGATCTACCAGTAGATCTTGGAGCCTCTGACAGGGGATCCTGACTGGTTTGGCCTGGAAGCTGTCAAGCGCTGGCACTTCAGTTGCCCCTCCCCCTCCCGCCATGCTGCATCTGCCCTCTGCCTCGGAACTGCCCCCTGGTTGCCTCCTGCTTGCTGTGCAAGGTGTGGGAGGAAGAAAGGGGGGTGCTGATGTCAGGGTGTCCCTCCCTCCCCCCCACCTCTGTACCCTGTCTCCACACAGTGAGAAGGGGGTGGAGCGAGCTTGGCAATGCCCGTCTCTGTCACTCGCACACACTGTGTGTGTCTCTGTCATTCTCACAAACACACACTGTCCTTCACACTCGTCTCCTGACCCAGCACACACGTGGGTTGTTATTGTGACTTCTTGTACTGCTTGCAAAGTGGGTTAGTTTTGCTTTGTGACTGGCCTGTGCATTTCATCATTTTCATTTCTCTCTCGTGCTTAACTTTTATACTTTGAGTCGGGAGTTCTCAAACACCCAACCTGTCGTGGCTGGAGTCATTATCCCTGTGGTAACAGCTGCTCCTGGAGGTGGCTGGCATGTCCCTGCAGCCCCTGAGAAAGGCAGAGCGGGGAGGGGGGTCTCCACATGCTGTCCTTGCCTGCAGACACTGCTCCTGCAGCTCCTACTGATCAATAGCGGGGAACCGTGGCCAGTAGAAGCTGAGGGCTCAGTGCCAGTAGATGAGGGGCAGCATATGGCACCATGGATCCGCTGCTGTACATGCCAGCTGCTTTCAGGAATGGTGTACGACTAGGGGAGAATTAAGCCTGCCTTAACTTCACTGTGCCACCACCCAGAAGCCCTCTCATTTAAACAGTGCCCAGTCAGAGCCTGCTTCCTGAACCCCTATCCCAGCCCTGAACCTCCTCCTACCCCCACTCTCCTGTCCCAGACATGAGTCCCCCTGCACCCAAACTCCTTCCCAGAGCTTGCCCCCTGAAACTCCTGCTGGACCCCAATCCCCCATCCTGGGCTAAGCCCGGAGCCCCTCTCACACTCTGAACCCCGTGGCCCAAGACCAGAGCCTGCACCCCCACCCCTACCCCAGCCTAGTGAAAGTGAGTGAAGATAGGGGAGGAAGGGGGATGGAGTGAGCAGGGTGAGGCTTCAGAGCAGGGGTGGAGCAGGGGCAGGCCCTCAAAGAAGGAGAGGGAGGGAAGTAGGGCGAAGGTATTTGGGTCTGGGTTTTCAATTTAATTAGCACTTAAATTGAAAAAGTGATCTTGTGGTTAAAAAGGTTGGAGACCACTAGTCTATGGCAAGGGCTCAGGGCCCACCTTGTGGTTAAAAAGGTTGGAGACCGCTGGTCTATGGCAAGGGCTCAGGGCCCAGATCCTGCATCAGAGAGAGCTTGGCATGGGAGAAATCTTCTCCTGCGACATGGGAGCGCTAAGGGCAAGGCACTGCTCACACAGATTTCCTGGGGGACCCCGGGGGAGTCACTCAGGGCAAGATTTTGATACCAATGGGAATTAGGCACCAAAGTGACTCTGAGGCAGGCTCCATGTGGTTTTTACCTGGCCTCTATCATTGGAATATCAGCACATTTCCTAGCCTCTCCAGTAATTAGCACTCCTGTGAGCTTGGGCAGATTGTTATACCCATTGCACAGCTGCAGAAACTGAGGCAGAGAGTGACCAAGGACCAGATAGCTTCAGCTATTGAACTCTCTAGATCCCATTGATGTCAAAATCCAGCCCTAAGCGACTTGCTCAGTGACGCCCAGAGTATGGAACCCCTGTTTAATGCTCCCTAGATGCTGGCCAGGGGCCTTCTACCCACCTTCTGCTGGCTCCCTCTCAAAACTCTCTGGAATGTGGCTCTCCTCTCTGGTCTATTTTAAAGGGACACAATCAGGTTTTTTTACTTTCTTTCCCTTCCTCATTGACTGTGCAGCTGCAGGCCAGAGCTATCATTAAGGCCTGACTGTGTTGGCAAATAATTCCCGCCCTGTCGCCTTCTGAGTGTCGCTTTAGTCTGAAGAGGGAGAGGGAGAGGGCTTTCCCGACGCCCCACCCCACCAAGTGGGAGCTAACGCACAACCGCAGCACGTCGCACCCACGTTGGAGACTTAGACCCTGGTGATTCTGGGCTGGGATGCCTGCCACCTTGCACGATGCTGGCAGCATGGCCTAGTGGCACGAGCGCTAGCTGGGCACGTAAGAGACCTGCGCTCTGCAGATGGCAGAACTGAGGCTTCCTTTTCTGGGCTTCAGGGTTTTGCCACCCGCGAACGCCTTTGCAACAAGGGGGGCAAATGACTACTGAAAAGCCCTCGCGAAGCACCAGGCGCTGGTATTATTACCATGTTTAAAAGCCACTTTGTGCAGCAGGACAGAAGAAATATGCAGAATTACTGAGTTGTGCCAGCTCAGGGCAGGATTCTGTAGATTTGCTGGGGTGTTGTTAATTTCACGAGGCTAAATGCCCATTAATCTCCAATATTGGACTTATTTACACGGCTCCACTGGCCCGGAGCTTCATCGACAAAAATTAAAGGGAATATATTTTGTCTGGAACCCCCTGCGGTTGCTTTCATTTCCTCCCTCAAGTACCTTCGTCGGGGACAATTAATTCCTATGGGAAGGGGGCCAACATTTAATTATCTACATCAAAGAGATCCCCGTGTAAACAAACAGCCCTGTTATTTACTAGCCAGCTGGGCTCACTTGCCTTCAGCTGGGATGAGAGTATTTTCACATTTGCCATGAAATGTCTGAGTCAAAAAATAACAGGAGGAAGGGGAGAAATCTGCCCATCAGCTTCTTCAGAAGTTAATATCCCGCCGGGTCTTAAAGGGACCCTGGGTTGTTTGCGTCATACGCTGTAGTGTCTACAGCTGATGTTGAACCCTTTGGTGGCTCCTTCTGTATGTAGTTTAAGCACAGAACCATAGAACTGGAAGAGATCTCAGAAGGGCATCAAGTCCAGCCCCCTGCTCTAGGCAGGACCAGTCCCAACTAAACCATCTCTGGAAGGTGTCTGCTTAACAAGCCCTGGTGTTGATGTGGAAGTGGTGGACTGGGACCTACGACTCCTGGATTCCTAGCCTCATCTCGGCATGGTCCAGGTCCAGAAATTAGAGCAGGGAGCTTTTTGTGGATTCTTTACTGTTCTGCCACAGTTTCACTCTGTGGCCTTGAGCAAAATCCCTCTCGCCAAGTGCTATGAGATCTCAGGATGAAGAAAACTCTATGGGGGCAGCTTGTGACTGAACAATTCCCAGAGGGAAGATCCTGGATTCCAGCCTGGCACCCTCAGCCAGCGGGGCAGCTCTGAGCTACTTGAGCTGAAGGGTAATCTCCAGGAATAGTGGGGTCTATGAAACACAGAAAAGAAATTAAGGTTCCATCCAGCAGGGGGAGGGGGTGTGGCGATGCACATGCCCCAGTCTGGCAGTGCTGGCTTCCATTCAGAGCCCTGCAGTTGCTGGCACACGTCCCTTGTCTGTTGCTCACTCTGCCCAACTCACAAGTGCCCCTTCCACTGGGACGCGCTTGCCTCTGGCAAAGTCTATTGGGAAGTGCTGAGCCACGGCCAAGTAGGAAGTGGAACACTCATCACCGATGGATGCTTCTGGCGGGTGTGCCCAGCCCAAGGCCAACCAGCACCAAGACAGGCTGGGCTGTGCTTGTCTGGGAGAGAGCTGCCCATTCTGCCTTAGCCGGGGGGAACCACGAAGCCGCAGCCACCGGCCAGGTGCAATCGCAAACCAGAGCTGGAGTCTCCTCTGACGTTACTGGAGCAAAGTGCTGCAGCGTGTCTGGGAGCAGCACCTGATTTCCTCCCCCTCGAGTTTCATGTTCTGTCTTGATCCAGGCAGGCTGGAAAAACCTACAGGGCCAGCGTCTGTCACCAAAGCTCCACTGACATCACTGGCACTGAACTGGTTTCCAGCAGCCAAGCAGGATCTGGCCCTGGCTTGTCTCCCTCCTCCCTCTGTATGATTGTTACTTCCATTACTGCAGCAGGGCTCCTAACAGAGATCAGGGCCTTGTTGTGCAGGGCGCTGTACGGACCCTGACACAGATCAGGGCCCTCTTGTGCCATGCTGCAGACACAGGGTGAGAGAGTGTTCCTGCTTCAAGGAGCTCATGGCCCGGACCAGGCAAGGGAAGGAGGATTAGCGCTGTGTTGCAGGCAGGGAAACTGAGGCACGGAAAGACGCCGTGACTCCCCTGCAGTCTGTGGCAAGACTCACCCGGAACCCCTGAGTCCAACACCTTCACCACAAAGCCAGGCAGGAGAAACGGCCAGCCAACCAGTGAAGCTGAATTCAAAAAGAAAGGACTTTAGAAGGTTAGTTAGGTGGCCGGAGTAGGAACGGTCAGAGTTAGCGGTGTCTGGACACCGATTCAGCCCCCTTCCAGGGCCGCCCAGTGCTTCAAATGGGGCCTGGGTGGGGTGCGAACAATCCAGCGCCGATTCAGCCCCCTTCCAGGGCCGCCCAATGCTTCAAATGGGGCCTGGGTAGGGTGCGAACAATCCCGCATGGAAGCTGCGATGAAAACCTGCCTGGTAATGCCCCGGTGCCGGAGGTGTTTCTGCGATGGTGAATCTGCCTCCCCTGCTTTTTGAGTACTTGGCTCTGCCACCTACACAATGGACCTTTTCGAGCCAGGCTTTTTTATTAAGGGAAAATACAAAAGTGCTGTGAGATCTCAATTGTATCATGTGCCAGGACAAGCGCCCTGCCCCCACCCCCTGGGGGTCTCCGCCTTTCGGACACCAAGGACCTATGGCAGGAAGAGCTCAAAGACCAGACACCTCTGGCTGAGAAATACTGATCTGCAGGGCTTGAACCCACAGGTTGCTGCCACCTGAGTCCCAGCACATCTGGCAGCATGTTGCAGGAGCAGACTGTTAGCCCAGCTGGGGCCAGAGGCCACATCTGGCTCTGTTTAGAGTACCACCCCCCTGCAACCTGCTCCAGCTGCTCTTATCTGTTTGCAATGAAGCAGCCGAGGAAGTAGGGTGCAGGGAGTGCTGCAGGATTTGCACCCCGGTTCCCCAAACCTGGGGGCCGGCCCTGTGGCTGCCTTCTCCAGCCCCAGGTCTTGGCATGTGGGTGGCCCCCATGGGGTCCTGTTGGCCTCATGTGCTTTCCAGCCTCCGGCTCCGGCCCTGTCACCTGCCAGCCCTTGAGGTCCCGTCACCTTCTGGCCCGACCATGGGTTCTGCAGCTCGCCGGCCCCGCTAGCCCCACGGTCCCACCATTGGCCCAGGGCTCTGCAGCTGCCCCCAGTTGTGGCCCCAGCCTGGGGAGCAGTGAGGGTTGCCAACTCCCCCAGACTGGATGCCACTTGCAGTGATGGAGTCTTGCCCGGGAACGTTGGCAACTTGATCTCAACAGCTCTCTGGGAAAGGGGGGTGCAGCTCGGCACCCCCTCCCAAATAGTTCCAGCACCGCTGGCAGTGGCCGCTTTGGCCTGAGAAGGGGCGGGTATAGTGCCAGGCTGCCAACGGTTCTCCTGAGGAAGGCAAGTGTGGAAGGGGTGGGGCTGATTTCTGACCCTTTTGATTTCGGCAGACGCTGAGGGGCACAGAAAAGCCGCCTCTCGAAGGGGCAGCGGAGGCGGGACAGGCTCTGTAAAGGCTTTTGTAAAGGGACAAGTTTGGCAACCTACATACAAGCACCGTTACCTGCTCCCCCTCCCATGCTCGGCTCCGATGCCCCTGCCAGGCTCCCCCGAGCTTTTAAATAACCTGAACCAACCTGACGTAGAGATTGCATCATTTCATCCAGGAGGTGAGGCAGCACCCAAGTCACGCCGTCCGCATCAGTCTCTCCCATCCCAGCTGTAAACTCCTCCGGGCAGGGAGCTGTTTCCTGTTCTCAGCGCCTCTCCCAGCAGCACAATGGAGCCTGCAGAAAACACTAATTACTAATTAGAGTCAGGGAGAGCGTGGGGGGGGGGAGCAGACACGGGGCTCGCAAATCCATCAGAGCCAAATGTGGCGCTTCCTGCCCACTGGCTGAGCTTAGAAATACTCCCACCCCGGCGGCCCTGTTCTCCCACAGCCCCGGTTCTCTGCTGCCCTGGACTTTGGGCCCTGCCTCTTGTGCTTCACTGCCCCCGTGCAAATCGGCCGTGAAATGTTGCCCGTGCAAAGCGTATGATAGTGGCGAATCGGCTCCTCCACCCCAACGGGGAGTCCCCCAGCTCTTGCCCAAGGATCTTGCAAACCCATGAGGAGTCGGGCCTGTCCCGTCGGCGAGCCTGCCAAGTTTCCGAGGCCCGTCCGTCACCCGCGAGGTGCTGATGCCGTTGGATGGGGAGCCCGCCGCATGCGGGTGCTGGATGGATGGGCTTTGGCAGCAGGGATGAGGGCGGCTTGCAATCGCGTCCGCAAATGCACGTTTCCCTTCTGCTCCAGATTAGAAGTGAGAGGCCTCAAGAGCCATCAGTCCCTGCTAGTCAGATCCTCCCGCCAGTCATCTGCACCGACGCAACCCAGCTTCCCCGTGCCCCTTCCGTCGCTGCCTCCAGGCGGAGAACGTCCCACCATGGGCACTGGAGCCGCTGTGCCGTGCGGACAGGTGGGAGAAGATCAGTCCTCCTTGCCAATGGTGAACCTATGCCAGTGCAGTCCGATGGGTTTTAGCCCTGCCTCCCCTCCCGCCCAGGGGCCCCAGTCCGCAAGGGCCTTGAGGACTTTTGCTCAGGATCTACCCCTCACCACCCAGCCAGAATCTGGACTGAGAAAGGCCCCCAGAATCTGGGAGTAGAATGCAGGGTCCCACCTCTTAGCCCCCACCTGCAACATCAAGGCCCTGTGCCTTGAAACAGTGAAAAAGATGCTCCGCAGTTGTGGTGCTTTACACATTCAAAGCGCGACACAAACATCAACTAATTAGTGCTCCCCGCCCCCGTGGGAAGGAGGTGAGAGCCTCTTTTCATCTTCGAAGCACTTCCCTGACTCTGGCTGATCAAGTAGGCAAGGAGCGTGAGGGTCCTCAGCTGTCTTTTGCCGACGGGGGAAACTGAGGCACGGCACAGCACCTGGCCCAGGATCACCCAGCCAATTGGGCACTGAGCTCGGAATGGGTCCCTGAAATACTTCTGCGGCTGCCCAGTACAGGGTGCAGCTCCTTATAAGTAGGTTGGTGTTAAATGTCTGCTGGTGTTAAATGTCCCCTCTGGGGAAACCAGACTCTTGGATGGGCAGTGCTTCCATGGCGAGCCCTTAGCAGGCTGCAGTTCTCAGGCAGCAGGCCCTAGTGGTTAAATCAGCAGGCTGGGACACCTGGGTCCTTCTGTCAGCCGCTGACCGTAAGCACGTCGCTTTCCCCTCTCAATGCCTCAGTTTCCCCATCTACTTTGCAACGGGGTCTTCCAAGTGAATGAGCCATGGGCTGCAAAGCACAGTGGGATCCCTCAGTTAAAGCAACGCAAAGCGTTCCCTGGGTGGAACGATCTTTTCCCTCCCCATTCTAGAGCGTTCATTTCCAGCAGGTACGAAAAGCCGTGTGCACACATCCATCCTGCAGGCAGGGCAGCCCCCAAACCAGCCAGCAGCCTGGCTTGTGCCAGTAACAGCTGGAACCGCACACTCAGGGCTGCTTCAGCTCAGAAGCCAGCTGCTCTCAACCTGCCACCAGAGACAGGCTCACATCGCTGGGGATTCAGCAGCGGGGAACATGTAACATGTCACTCGGATGACCAGTGGGTTGCACACACTGTGATCAGCTTCTGTTCCCTGGTGTAAATCCAGAGTAATCTGGAGTGACTCCACAGACTCCCCATTTACACCAGCATAACTGAGATCATACTGGCTCTTCTCTGTTAGGCTATGCCTACACAGCAGTGTTATCCCAAAATACCACAGTCTGCATCTACACAGCAAGCTGTTATTTTGATATAATATCAAAATAATGTCAAGCGGGAGGACTTCTACTTACTCTTAATTTTGTAATCTTCTATTTACGAGGAGAACGGGAAGTCAGAGGAAGAGGTCTCTAACTCAGTCTTCCCGCTGTGTCGATAGCGCCAAAAGCCGAAAGAAGCTATTTTGACGTAAGCTACGCAAATGACGTAGCTGAAGTTGTGTAGAGCCCAGACGTGGGGTGTGTCTATACTCACACTTGAGCCACAATATTTTTGTCGTTCATGGGTGTTGACCCTCCTCCTCCATGAATGACAAGGCACTTGAAAGTGCGAACGCAGATTTATTGGCTGGAGCGCTCTCCGGCCCACAGGCCCCTCTGCAGAAACTTCTGTGGGGGGGTGCTGTTTTTGTAAATGTGGACCACAAGGGTGTGAATGCACTCCCCATAGTCCCCTGTGTAAGCGGGGAAATCAGCCCCAGCCTTCCCCCGGCCAGCCAGAGCATGCGGGAGGGAGGTTCGGGCAGCGTACTGCTCCTGCCTTCCGCTGGCTGGTGGGAGCATATTTGCTTGGGGCACCATGAGGAGGAGGGGGTGCTGTCACATTCTTCGCACCCCCCTGTGTCTGGGCCTGCCCACAAAGCGAAACCCGCTCCTTGGGGGTGGAAGTAGTTTGTTGGAGAAAGTGCCAACACAGAGCGTTCACGCCCTTTTAGAAGGTTGTGTCGACAGCCTTGTTGCGAAAAGCCGCGTCATGTGGACAGACCCTTAGAGGGCGGGGGAAGAACAATCCAGCTCTTGCATGCTCAGCCTGTGGTCTGGGCTTGGAGCTCCCAAGAAGGGCCCCAGAGCCGCCTTTTCAGGGGGTTATTATTAGGTGTCTTACGGTAGCATCTGGAGGCCCCACTCAAGAGGAGGGGCTATAAAAGGTTGCAGGCTTTCATACAGGCTAGGCAGCCTTACCTAGTGGCTGGAGCACTGCAGAGACAGTTTGGGCATACCGGTTCTGTTCCTGGCTCTGAGGCCTGGCCTGCTGCATTACCTTGAACAAGTCCCTTTCCCCTCTCTGTGCCTCAGTTTCCCTGTCTGTAAACTGGCAATAATAGCACTGATCTCCTCTTTGAGATCTGCTGGTGGAAAGAGCTGGAGTTATTGCCATGATTAAACTTGTCACGCTAATGTCCTGGGGAGAACCTATGTGTAAGGGCTTACCCCTAGCAAAGCCATGGTCCCTTTTGATCGACTTTCCTGTCGTACTTGTCTAGACAAAGCCCAGGTGACAAACAGCGTCTGGGCCCAGAGACAGTGGAACACAACAGAGAAGAACTATCACCTGCCTTTTACAGGTGGGAAACTGAGGCATGAAGAAAGTAAGTGATTTGCCTCTGTCAAGTCTCACGGAGCATTTCAACTTGTTGCCTCCTAAATCCCAGCTCTTTGCTTTAACCACTAGGCAACTCTACCCTGCTGGCCACCAGCATGGATTCCAAGGGGTATCTGCATTTATTGGGCTGATCCGGAACGGGGGAGGGGGGAAGCCTGTGTGATCCATCAGCTCACAGCTGCTGAGTGAAGGCTGCTCGCTGAGCAGGAGGGGGGGGGGGGGGAAGCCTGTGTGATCCATCAGCTCACAGCTGCTGAGTGAAGGCTGCTCCCAAAGGCTGTGGAGCCCCCTCCACACTGGCTCCCCCCCCATGCAAGTGAGCTCATGGCGATCCTTCTGCTCTGTAAGCAGATGTGCACTGCCCAGATCAATTAGCTCCTCCGCCAATCCCAATCAGCGCAGCCCCAGGCGATGCCAACCCAGGGACCCAGCTGGGTGCCATTCATGTGCCACACCAGCCCCCGCCGAGTAGCCTTCGACCTCTCGTACAAACCCTCCTCCGCTATGCTAACTGCCCCCAGCTCGCTTCCAAGACCCATGCCCCCGATCAGGGCAGCTGGCTTCGTTTTCCTTGCCCCCTGGTTCTCCCAAATCAAGCCCAGGGAGGGGATATGGAGCAGATCCTCCACCAGCATCCATGGACCTGGCGCCACGCGGCTCCCACTCCTAGCTGGTGACTGTGGGCCTCGTTGGACCGCAGGCCAGAGGCCCCCCTGCTGCAGTGCATCAGTGATACTGCACTGAAGTCAAAAAGGATCTGGCCCTGCCGATGTCGCAGGGCGGGGAAGGGAAAGTATTGGGTGCTTCAAGTCTGCAAGAAAAACCCCCCAAGCCAAAAATCTGGCGGTGCATTAAGAAACGCGGTTATATAATCCGCGGAGAGGAGTTTAATTTGTATTCCCAGCGTTGCCGCGATCCACAGTGCACAGACAAGGCAAGAGAGATGGATACGGAACCGGAGTGAGATAATGGAGGAGGGAGGGGAGGGGAGTGCCGTGGTGGGGGAGGCGAAGAACGGCTAGATCTATAGGTAATGGGGCGGGGGGCCGGAGAAGTAGCGAATGAATGGAGAGGTAATAATGTGGAGCCAGCAGATGGATGTGGGATGGGTATTGATCTGACAGTTTAATTCATTTGAGGTCACCTCAGTGGAAGGTTGCGGGAGAGCAGCCGTGTTTCCCAAACAGATCAGGGCTCCTCTCCAAGGCTAGGATGGAGATAATTGGGTTCAAACCTCCCCCCAGGGAGGGAGTGGGGGGGGGGCAAATGTAAATTTTGCCTGCCAGTGACGGCCGCTGGTGCTGAGCCAGCATTGCTGGAGCTCCCGGCATGTCCCGTCCACAGCCCCTTCCTGGGAGTGGAGGGAAGGAGGCAGTGGTTAGGCAGGGGGCTGGCTCCATTCACAGGCCCCCGGGGAGACCCACGCCCTTTCGCATGGGGATCATGGCCTGTCACCCCCGCCAGCTGCTGCCCCTCACACTGGGATGGGGGCGTGAGCGTTTTCCAGTGGTTATATTGGAGGGGGGGGGGGAGCCAGGACTCCTGGGTTCAGCG